TGTATCGCCCCTGAGCCTGGAGGAAGTGTCATCTGTAGATCCTTCACAGATTACAGGGCAGCAATGAGAGTGCAGCCACTAGAAAGCTATGACTTGCCAGAATTTGACACAAAACAAAAAGTAAAATCAAAAAATCCAACCACCTTTACAGCCTATCACCTACCTCCCAGGCAGGGCCGGCTGTATTTACACTGGCTTTGACAAGCATTTGTCCAGTCCGATCTTACCAATGTCCAGCAATAAAAATACAAGTTATTCAGCTTCTTAATTTTTGAAACCTGAACCCCACCTCCTTGCAAATTAGCCTACTATTCTTATCCACTGAGCAAAAAGAACAATTTATTTCATCACCCTCCGCAGCTTTTTAAACATTTGGAAGCACATCACATCTCCAAGTCTTTCTTCCTGTATTGCAATGGTTCCAAAAAATTGGGCGTAATTTAATGGTGAGACACAGAGTCCAGACAAAAGCACTCTGCTTAGTTCAACAGTCATAGCTGTGCTGCCAGTAAAGGTCAGGAGGAAGTATCCCATTGCATACCATCTCTCTATTTTGTCTTCCTTTCTAAATTGATACAATGACAGAACTTTTTCTTCATGAACACACAACTGATACAAAGAAGAGGCAACATGGTGCACTTTGGCCTTTCAGAATTTAACCTCAAGACACTCAAGAGGTTTTGGGTCTTGTTACATTTTTAAACATAGCTAGTTGCCGCTTGTGCATTTCTCTCTCATATTTACAGTTACTGAAAGTTTGAAACAACTGAGCTGACATGCAACTTTGTCTTCTCTCTCAGCATACAGAGAGTTTGGCACTGTCCACTTTGTTCACCTTCCCAAAAGGTGCCGCTATTTTGTCACTCCAGAAATGTTCTCTTCCCTAAGGGTCAAGCTCTGCATTTTGAGCCACATTTGTGTAAAATCACCTGTCCCCTTCAGATTACCAGTGTCTCACCTGTTAGAAGCAAACCATATTAACTTACAGGATTTTTTCCCCCAACATTCTTAACTGTTAAAAAAAAAAGTCAGGGGTGCATTCCAAAACCATGCCACACACATTTTTGACATGCTTAATGGGGTAACTGAAGCAATTCACTGAAGTTTAATGACTCACAAGAAAACCCCAACCTCCTGGCTTAGTAACCTACCACAGATCCCTGCAATATGAGCATTTTCACCTGTCTCCATTCTTATTAGCCAAAGCTCCACTGATCTATCAGCAAAGTATTTAGCAAGCAGTCACCTTATATGAGCACACAGTACAGGGCATCAAGAAGAAACATTGTAGTTATTCCAGTGATGCAGCTGTCTGCAACATATTTTCTTTTGGGTAATAAGCACTTTGCCACTAGATCTGAACCATTATCTATTGCCAAAAATTAATACGCAGATGTTTTATTTCTTGGACCAGTGATACCATCTCCACAAAGTAGCTTTTATTTAAATATCTACTCTAATTACAAAGTCTAAATTACCAATTAGATAAGAATTTGGTGGATAGTTTAGCCTCTACCAATTTATCATTAACTGCATGATCAAATATAATTTTTGCAGACTTCTGTAGAAACTTTTGAAATTAAAAGATGAGGTTTTCATGCAGACCTGACAAATTTTCAGCTTCATTTCTCTTTACTGATTACCTTCACTTATTTCACAACATACCACTTTCAATATTAGTTCCCAAAGTTCGATACCTGCAGTCTACTCTGAGCTTCTCCTCTCTTGCTTCTCCTGTTTCACAGGTGTGGCAGGTGCTTCACTCGCTTCCTGTTTCACAGGCGTGGCAGGCATATCACCATTGACACTCTCCACACCAGTAACAGACATCAAGCTTTTCCGTTCTTTGGAATTTGATTTGTGCTCCACTTTTGTGACTCTAAATCTGAGGTAAGCAAAAGAAAGATTCAGTTATATTTCCCTAGAGATTAGTTAGATTGTTCCAAGTACCCGGTACATGGACAGGAACAGGCTTTCAGGTTCCAAGAGCTACGCATTAGAGGAGACGCCCACACGGACCCAGCTTCACTTCAATCTTCCTTCCTGCTATCTCCATGTACTTCTAACACTCACTACCGCTGAATCACACTTTCTCAGGGAGCTGTGTTTTAAAGAAGAATCCACAGATTGCATACTACTTCTTAGAACAGTAATTTTCTAAAACAATAAAAGATAAACTAAGAATTAAAAACTAAAAATAGCAAAACAGAATGGTTTCTATAGCTCACGCTATAGAAATTCAGAAACAGAGGAATTTATTAGTATGCAATCCCTATTTCTTTTTAGCCACCATCAATAGAGCAATAGCTTTGGACCTGTACCCACAGTAAATCCCCATCTATTTACAAAGTTCTAAAAGCCAATTAAATTTACTTCTTCCCAGAAATAACTTCAGTCTAGTAGTAACAGAATTACAAAAAACAATGTGATGCTATAAACAGAGTGGAATCAATGGATATCTGATCCAACACAGGTCACTGTAGCATCCTAAGGAAAAGTATACACTAAAATGACCCAAGTCTTACCTTCCCACAGAAAGGACTGTAACCTCTCCAAGACGACTTCTTCTGTGCTCTTTAGATTTGTGAGCTGGCTTTATAAGGTGCCATCGTTTGTGGCTACAACGAGTACAAACATCCTTTTCTACTACTCCTCCAACAGTATGGAAGTGATGGCCTTTGCAGTTGTGTTTAAATGGAACAGCACCAGGTGACAAAGGAGACCCTGGACTTGTTGGACTCCCAGGAGAGGTAGGAGATAAAGGGCTGTAGGACAAAGTATAAGAGAAATTTAGTGTTTAATATAAAATCCTGTTTCTCAAAAAGGAAAAAAAAAAAAAAGGATAAAATACAACCTTCAGTTATGTCTAGTGAATAGCTATTTTTTTTCAGGGACCATTTATTTCTGAGGATGTCTGGTTTAAGGTTCCCTCTGATATCGTACTTTTGCAGTTAAAATCATTTCCACAAATAATTCAGCTGCAGTCACGTAGTAAAGGTAACTAATACAAAGGGCAAGGAAATGAAAAAAAAAAAAAACAGGCTAAAATAGAAGAGAATAGGTTACATGGACTTATACTGATGAAGACATTGAATTAGCTGATTAAATGCACACTTGGAGAGCAACAGAAAGTATTTCAGAATTGTTACATTATCTCTAAGAACTCACAGAAGAGTATAGTCCCACAATATTGCAAAGAGGCAAAATTAGAATGTCCACCATGAAAAAAGGCATCAACAGATCATTCAGCTTAAGCTTCAGGAAAAAAACTTTTTTTAAAGTACCTAGAAAGAAAGAAAGCAGTACAACCACCAGAAGGCATTTATTGAGAGTATCAAATCAATCTAATTTTCTTCTGTAACAGAAAAGCAGATAGCATAGATAGAAAGCAGAAGATGCACTTTTTTGGATTTCAGCATGAATTTTGACACTATCTTGCAACACGTTCTCCTAAAGCAAGCTAGAGCTCAGGGCATTAAAGGTGAAATTACTGTAGTGTTAAGGAAGCACACCTTGTTCAAAAAAAAGAGACATACCAGAAAGTTATATATCAGTAGATTACTATGAAACTGGAAAGACATACTAAATGTGGTTATTCTGGTCCTGATGATACTCAGTGTCTTAAATAGTTCCTTGGGTAATGGAATAGAAGAATAGCTGAAGTACCCATAAACTTTCAGTCACGCATATTAATTGTAGAAGACAAGATGAGAAATCAGGATGATCAAAGGAGAGCATGTATGTGAAAGACACGTTCACAAGTACATACATCTTACTAAAAATACTGTATGTATTGCAGTAAGAATACAAATTTCAGTGGTTTAGCAGAAAAACTTTACAAAGCCAGTTTAAAATGCAACCAGCTAGATGATCATTCTTCAGAAAAAAGTGGTGAATATCACAAGCTGACCATGAATCATTATGATGTTGTTTAAAAAGGACAAATTTCACAGTGGAAATAATCAGAGAATAACCTGTGAACCTAAAATTACATTACTCAGCCTTAGTCATGCCTCAGATGAACATTCCATCCAGTTTTAGAAATATTATTTCAAGAAAAACACTAACAAACAGAAGAGACTCCAAAGGAGAACAGAAAGAACGAATTAAAGAAACAAAACATGCTGTAAAGGGCTGGAGTTACTTGGATGTTTATTTTCAAAACAAAAATATTGACAGGAGACATTTAATGGTTGTCAAATAAATAAGAGAATGCTATAAGAGAAATAAAATCTGTTCCACATCTGAAGCAAAGACAGGAACTGGTGGCTTTAAGTGGCAGAAGTGCAGATTTTAGTTAGCCATTACTATTCCTATCATTAGGAAGCATTTTACTGTGCATCAAACTTACAAAGAAATACAGTAGATTTGTATTTGAGTTACTAAAGCTTTAGAAATACCTATCAGAAACATAAGAGCAAATAATAATTTTTCCCTTCTCCTTACTTTGTGTATTTTAATTCACCACTGAAACAATAGTCTAAAAGTTCCAAAATAATATCACACATGCCTACGCAAAAAGATTGAGTTAAAATTCAAACAAATATTTCTGCTGCACCATAAAAGTTTAAAAATAATTCCTATACTTGAGAAGAACTCCTTTTGCAAGTTCAATTTATCTCTTCAATAACCAAGCCTCTCACTGTTAAAAGAGGAGACAGTCGCATACCCAACTATTTGTTTTGCTAAAACTATACGCTCACACTTCTTTTGTTAGTGACACAGTACTACTTGAGCCTTCACCTTTTCTGCCTTGAATATGAACACAGGGTTACATATGAAGAATATTTAGAGTAGCATAGATATAGTTTAAAGGTACGTACTTACAGACATAAGTATTTTTATAAAAATGATGCACCTGCTACTCAAGGGCTGAACTACTTTCTCTACATAATCCTCTAAATAGGTGTGTAGTGAAAAAAATAAGAGGTAGGTCAGCTGACGTACTTTACCACAATTATAAAGAAAATAGTAAACCAGAAGGAGACACAGAAAGAAATGTCTATTTTAAGTTAGCATCCATACAAATGAAACAAGTGCTGCTTCTGTTCTTTCATAGCTTTTGGACCAACAGGTATTTGCAGCCTCTGTAAATCTTTAGCCCAAAAAGCAATAAATCTGTATCACACACCTTGAACACATAACCAGAAGAGCCAGTTACTAACCCAGGGCATATATTAAATTCAGTGACTCAGAGACACCCCAGGGAAATAAAAGTATTATCTTCTTAGCTGTTAAGGAAGTGATGCAGTCTTACAAGGGCTCAGGAAATAAAAACCTTTGAAAGAGTATGTTTTCAGTTGCCTCAGGAAACATGCATTGAAAATATGAGTGATTACCTTTCAGGTTCAAAGACACTGCTATCTGCTACCATGGCCTTTAACACATCAGCATTTGCTGTAATGAGAATAAATAGAACTCTTCAGAAGCGTACAGCTCTTACTTTAGAAAAAACAAACAGCAAAATTAAAGTTCCTCAAATAAATTAAATCTGAAAGATGACTGCATTATGTATATCTGCAAAAAGCTATTATGCAAAAAAAGTTAATATATATTTCTATGGGCTATTCTTAATATGAGCTACTAAAATTACAGTTCATACTTCACTCAAAGCTCTGCCCCAATATAAGCTATATCAAGTAGCCATCTGCACAACTCTCTCAAACAAGATCTCTGAAAAATTTTACAACATCCACTTGACCAAAGGAGTATCATCACCTCACACGCACAAAGCTACTTCAGATTAAAAAAAAACAGTTTAAGTGAGTCCTACAAAATGCAAATCAATTAGCAGCCAAGAACCACCGATCACTCAGATATTCTAAAACACACATGGGGTACCTAATCCTAACCTCAAGGAAAAATACACAAGCTCAAAACCCTAACAGTTAAGGGGGAAAAAAAAAAAAAAAAGACCCCCTAAAAATCCCACAAACCAACTCAAAAGTATAATTTTTCCAGAGGACTAGTCTTCATTTACAAGTAACTCAAAGTCAGTTCAGTGCTTAAGAGAACTTCAATTTATACAATTGTAAAAGTAAAAAGCTAAAAGTTCTTGTACTACAAAAACATGCAGTCTCCTCAATGTTTCTTCTACTGGGCAAATACATTCTGAACTAACCAAGCATTGCACGGGCTGCTTAACTATTATTTGATTTTTGCAGTTCTATCTTCTTCTTTACCTTTCACTTTGCACACACAGCTCATGGAGATACCATCTCCAAAATTCAACGTTAGCACTAGTCTGCCCTATTGTCTCAGTTATGCACAAACCTTCCATCAGACAACAGCAGCAAGAATTGTTTCAAGACAAAAAGTTTGATCTGCTCAAAACATAAAAATTTCACATGCTTTTACTTCACAAACAAAATAAAAGATGAACAAAAAAAAAAATCAAACACCCAAATAGTTAAAATATGAAAAAATGCATGAACCAAATTTACCATACAAAACAATTTTCAGGTAAATGAAAAACTTTCCTACTTTATTTGAAGTTATTGCCTTCTGAAGATAATCTCAAAGAGTGAAGCATGTACAAAATGGTTATTCAATGAAAACACATGAACATGCCATACTTCAGAATATCTGAAAAAACATACTTGTTACAGAACACCATAACAAAGGCTCATAACTTCAATACCACAATACTATACCTTCATTTTTCATAATGTAGTTAACAATTTGTCCCACAGTGTCACTATTCTCATGTGTAGTTTCATTCATTTCTGTGCAAGGAAATAAATATGTTGTCAGTATCTTAGCCTTCCAAATCAAGAGTTATTTTAGAATAAAGTAAAAGCAAAAAACCCAAGCCAAAACAAAACCAAACACACACCATAAGCAGTTATATAAAAAGACAAGATCTATTGTCACTTTGGAGGCAAAGCTTGGATACGACGTTTTAGTCCTTATTCAGAAAAAAATACCAACACAAGTTTATGGAATCTAAACATTGGCTCTAACGTAACTTGAATAAACTCAGTATTTTCAAAAGCATATGTCAAAATTCCTTCTCAAGCTAGTAAAGAGGAGACAAACACGAGAGCAGTATTTCTAATCCTAACAACAGGGACGAAAACAATCAAAAAAATCATTAAACTATCTCAAGTCACTACTTTAAAATAGGTATTATCTGTTTCTAGTATAAGAGGTATTCAGTTTAAGGTTTTCACCACAACTACAAGGACATAACATTCGATTTTTTAATTAAAGATAAATCCTCATATGACTACAGGAGCAAGGGATTTAAGAAAGAAACCTCAAGACTATACTTATTACTTTTGGCATCAATTGCACCCATTAACAATACTGGAAGTTTCCCCAGAATAACCTCAGAAGGCAGAGGAAGAGTTTTTCTTCATAATAGCTAGTAAGAGGCTGTGTTTTGGATTTGTGCTAAGAAGAAAGCTGATAAGAGTGATGTTTACAGTTGTTGCCAGGACAGTCCAAGGTATTTTCAGCTTCTCTGCTGTTTGCAGGTACAGGAGAAGCTGGAAGGGAGCACAGCCCCAATTACTAGCCTTGGATTCGATCTTAGGTTTAGGATTGAGACCCAAATTGTCCAGCTGTCTATTCCATAGCATGCACATCATGCCCAGTATATAGGTGAGTGCTCCCTGGAAGCTCATCCCTTCTTGCTCTGGGTCAGCTCTCTTCCCAGGTTGGCTCTCTCAGGGTGGTCCTTTTTCCCTGGGTCATCTGCCTCCCTCGGTCAGCTCTAGGTCTAGGACACTCAGGCTGTTATCTCCGTTCCAGGAGTGTGGCTTTTAGACTCTCCCTGCTCCGGGATCGTTAGCTGAGAACAGGCTGAGCCTGGGTCATCGGGTGGGGGGGCAGCATCACTGTGTATCACTCATTTGCATATTTGCATACATTATTAATTTCAATATTATTGTAGTTTAGTTATTAAATTGTTCTTAACTAATTTTTTGTTTTTTCCCCTTACCCCTTTAATTCTCTCCCCTATCCCCAGCAAGGGGGAGGGTGAGAGAGTGGTTGTGTGGGGTTGGCTCCCAGACAAGGGTAAACCCATCACACAATGCAACTCAGACACAGCTACTATCCCAAACTAAAACCTAAAGGTTGTCCCCCTTTCATTACCACTCACGTGGACTAACAGATCAGATAGTCCCACTCTCTGTGTACATGCCCCAGGCAGTAATTGATTAAGAACATTCTGACACATCATTACTGTGCCACATGGCTCTACCCTTACCACAGAGCCACTGTCATTTGTGCTTACTATGAACATAATTTGGAGAAAGTAAGAGGCTCAAAAGTATTTACAAGTGACTTGGCCCTTGTATTTACTTAGCCAAATGCTATGCTGGGTTACTACAGCCCTTCCCAAATGATAACACTATTTTCTTGGCTTCTTTTCTCAAGTAAAAGAAGATGGGAATAAGGAACCATAAAAAGCAAGAGCACAAATGAACAAACATTAGAACACAAACAAAGGTATCTTTACAAAAAAGTTATAAGCAGCACACATCACACAAAGCAGAACAGAGACAGTCAGTTTTATAATGAGACAGGAGAAGTGAAAGAGAGCACAACAGGAACTAAGACTGCTGAACATAAAACTAAGATTTTAGACTTTAAAAGGCAGCTTTTTGTCACTCCTCAGATAGAATTAGCTATAATAATACTTTGTTGCTGACAGCATGTGGAATGCAGAAAAGCAATCCAGTGCCTCTGATTGCAGTGTATACTTGCAAACAAATACACGAGATACTTTGATGCCCTTGTAAGCTCTTAATTGATGTTAGAGGACTAGCATGGGAAATTGGAACAATCCTAGTTTTGATTGGCAAAGACCAAAACCCAACGGACATATAATGGTAACAAAAATATTTTTCTTAATATTGTTTTGATGTCAAATATAGACCGAGAAATGACAGAAGTCTCACAATAAATTATTCCATAGTAGTTGCAATGTACAGAAATAAGAAGGTGTTTATCAGACTTATTGATTACCTATTTTTTCATCAAGTTTTTCTTCTTCTAGTTCTTCAGCTTCTGTTGTACAACGATATCCTTTTTTCTTAAGCACATGACAGATGAGGATCCCCAAGAGACCCATGATGAAGAAAACAGGAACCAACGCAAAGGCAATATACTCTAGGTGTTCAGCCTTGCCATCATTGCCATCTGTTTTAGTTGTCAAAGTAGTTGTCTGTAAGCCATAGCTTGATAAAACCTGGATAAAATCTCCATTATCTACATAAACAAATAAACACTGTTATTACTATAGACTGCAAATAATTTCAAAGCATTTACAAAATGACAAGCATGACCAAATTCCCATAGCCTCAATGAGATGTACCTTCCGTGATAACCTGAAAGGGCAACACATTCTCTACTGGCTGAGAACTCTCACCCGTGACAGTAGACACTCCTCCTTCATAAAATGATTACAAAACATCCAACATACAAAAAATGCACATGACATTTATTTAATGTAATAGTGAAGAACAAACAATATTCTAGTCTGACAGGCTTGTAATCTCAACAAGAGGGTTCACGTATTTCACAGAAGAATAACACCACCATTGCTCCTTGTTCCCATCAGCGAGGAAATTACCATACAGTTCCTCTGGTCCCAAGTTCAACTGAACAATATATACAATTTTCACTTTTAAGACTGCAATTGTTTTACACTACAAGGAAACTAGACAGGAAAGGTTAACAGACACAACCATATAACTAAAACAGTTCATCTCACATGCAGTTTGTTTGCTTTCTAAGAATTTATAATTCATGTTTTAATATACCAAAATAAAATGGTTCTAATTTGGGGGTTTTTTTGGCTACCATCAGGTAGCAACACTCCAAAGATCCCCACTTAATCACACAAAATACCTTAATTTACTTCCTAGGAGGAGAAAAGCCACCACACCAGAGAAGTATTATTTTGATAACTATAACGTCTCAGAATCTAAGAAATCCAACTTAAACAGTATACGTCACAAGTTCAGAAAGGTACTAACAAATAAGCATGCTTCACACTCAAATGTAAGACAAAAATAGGCAGATGCTTTTGATTTTGCTGCACATTATCCATTTTAAGAATGAAGGGGAAAGACCTGCTGCACTATTTTTAAGACATCAACAGGCACTTAGTAGTCAAGCTAGTGGGCAGAAGGACAAATCAGAAGGACCACAAGATCTATCTCCAACTCAACTCTTCAGGTTTTCTACCTCGCTTTGTGGCAAGAGCAGCACGCATTGCCCAAACAAATAACATCTCTTGACATTTCTCTATAACCACACTAGGTAATTCCTGCTTCAAAACTAGAGAGCAAGCGGGCCTTATCACAAGCTAAAGACCCATGGTCACACTCTCCAAGTTGTGGTTCATTACAGTTTCTCCAAAGTAGCGTTAAGAGGTCCCTTCCCATTCAGTCCTCTGCTACCCCACTGGCTGTGCTCCTGACAGACTGTAGCCGTAAGAACAGTTTTCAACTAGATTACCAACATGACCAGGCTTTAAGAAAAATTGCCTCAAAATGTCTTCAGCTTTGAAGCAGTCATTTTGCTGAATCAGTATAACCAGTGGTTTGGCAAACTGCCGTATCAAGACCCTGAGTAAACTGAACTGAGGGAATAAGCAACCATGAGCAAGGATGAATACAACTAGAACAAACTTTCCTGGAACAACTGTAATAACATAGATCCATAGTCTCAGAGTATGCTCCAAAAATAATGGCAGGAGGATTAATTACATGCATAAAAAAGTACAATGTCCTACGTAATTATTTTCAAGTCTTCAACTCAAAAGCCCATTGACACAGACTCTGAAAATACACAATTTAAAATAGAAAGCTGATTCACAAAGCAGCACACAATCAAGAGAAGAGAACAATTATACAACGGAAACGGGAAAATGGATCCCAAATACTATTAAACATTCACAGCAAGTAAGAAAAAAAATCTATATAAACCTGAACTAATCTCAAATTCACAAGCAACTCCAGTGACAGAGCTACATCCCATTTTCAGAAGGACAGACCATTGCTGAGCAATCACTAAATACCATCCCCACCCTCCAAAAAAGCAAACCATCAGAAACTACTCACATTGATACCCCCAGCCTACCTAATATACATCACCTGTAAATGCTTGCATGGTAAGAACCATGGTTTGAGTTTCTTTGTTTTCTGATACTTTTTCTACCTACATAATCCTATGATTTAGTTTAGCACTTCTGCTTGTAGACTGCCACCTGAAAACCAACGAGAAAACCTCATCAGCTACAGTCTAACCTGCAGTCAAAAGCTTATGACAATCTAGACAAATTCTCAAAGGACAGATGCAACCTATACAAGTTAAAAGAAAACGCCAGAATTGTGCCCATACTGGCACTTTTTTTCCTGATAGAAGCATGTTTAAAAGCTCATAATTTATCAACTGAATACTCTATAGTATAGGTTAGTCACTAAATGGATTGAGTTTTAAAGAGCTTTTGAACTAGGCAGGAAAACATACTTGAAGTATTTTTTCCATTTAAAAATGTATTAACAAACACAGATATTCCAACATACCAGCCTATATAGATATGTCTATGTGATTTTTTTCTTCATTTGTCCTTAGATACCTAAAAGTCTAGTTCTCCCATTAGAATTCAACAAGATACAAACAACTTTGTAAGGTATTTCGCTTATTACTAGTAAAACATTAAATCAATACAATTTCTATATAAATACATAATTTACACAAAGTCCATAAACTGCTTGATGCCACTCATTTCATTTTCAGAGATGTAAAAAATCATCAAAAACAAACCAAAACCAGAAGAAATTAATCAGCTGGATCAAATACTTGGTGCTGTGTAACCTGAAGCAAAGCACTCAGCTTTTATTATCAAACACTCTACACATACCAAGAAGTCTGCCCTCAAAAATCTCAGCAATTATGACATAATGCAAAATAAGGCTTGTGTAACTAATGAGCAATATATTTCACGTCCCAAGTCATGGCTACATCATTCATTATATGTTCCCTATTCCTCTCCCTCAGAGGCATATTATGCTTTTTAACAGACTCTTGATAGTCTACCTCATTCTCATGAGGTACAATATTGCTTCACAATGGTTCTCAATGACAAGTTCAGGCCACAGCAATCTCCCCTGACTCAAGTCAATTCATACAGAAATTCATCTGCTTTGGTATTTTGCTGTCCTGGCATTCTTATGTACCTGTCATTGTATATGTGTATTGATCTACATACCAAAATTACTTGAAGATGTGTTCTAAATAAAAATATTTAAGAGCAATGTTCAGCATGTTTAAAGTGATGCTTAAGCTGTAGCTCACAGATTGCATTCATAGTCCTAATTTAGATCCCATGTACTCTTTTATGCTTAAAAATGAATATATGTTATGTATTGAATTTGATATTGTCCGCCCTTACTTATTCCTTACCTAACAAGTAAAATAAGGACAATCAATCTCAGGTCTTTTACACCGGTTCTAATCTTTACTATGCTGACACAGAGACAGTGTTCTTCCGTCTCAGCAATGGCTCAAGAATATTTTACAGCACCTTTAGGAAACAGAATACAGGAGGAAAAAAATTGCACATTAATGAAAAAATATTTAATCCTTCATTAAATTGACATTTTTACATGGCCTAGACATAGCTATTAACATTCTAGTTAAACACAGTATTCCCTCCATATTAGTAAAATAACGTTCGAGCACAAAAGTATTCCAAGACTTGTCTTGAAGGCTGTGGTAAGAAGGAAGCTGAAGTGAACCATGTAAGCAAAGGTACTGCTCTATAACAAACTTTTTTCCCCATTGAGCTTTTATAAACTCACAGAAAAGACATCACCTTAGAGAGGTCATCCCATTTCATCCCACTGTCAAAAAGCAGGATTAACTGTACCTAGACAACTATCTACCAGGCATGGCTAACGATCCTGCAAAGATAATAGCTTGCCCTCCACACCTATTTTCTTTGTCACTGCAAATGGAGGGTCAGAACAATTCCTCCTTTCCTATCTACTGCCACAATATCAGATTCTGCTTTCACTGAGTTATAGAATTACTCATTCCTTGGTTTTAGCTACATGTACTTGAAAAGATTTCATACTTGGCATGATCCCTAGGACCTCCCCAATATGCACCCCAGTTACCTGCCTTTAGTATTGATCTAAATAGACAATTCTCAAACTTTTCATAAAGCACATGAGAAATTTTAGAAATATTTAATATTAAAGAACAACTCAAATTATTGAAAAATAAATAATTTTTGTAACAAAGATCAAACCTGGTTAGTTGTTATATAAGCAACTCATCATTAAAATAATGCATATTTATTTTTCTAAATCTCCAACACTAAACTTAAGCATAAGCTACATCTAGCTGATTACTTCAAGCACATTCCAGCTGGTTTTCTATTGTTTAATTCACAGAAAGTAGCCCATAAACAATGATGTCACCTTCTCTCTGCTCTACTGATAAAGAATCCTAATTGGTTACTCCGGATTTTGCCCATTACGCCCATGCCATTTACTTCTTATGGCATGCCTTTAAAGAATTTTGTTTACGTTTAATGAATTAGATTGTTCCAGCAATCTACTTGCTAAGAATAAGTACATACACTATCTTCTCCTCCATAAAGTTCAAGGAGTTACCTGATCATATTTCCCGCTTTCAGGCACAAAAATGAAATGTAGCTATCAATCCCACAGTATAAGGCCAACAATAGTTTGCTTCTGTAATGTTAATTACTAGTTAAAGAAATTAAATACAATCAATGTACAACCCATTTAAGTACAAGACAAATGAAATATTCAGATACGGCACATGATGTGCTCAAATTTCTCAGGTAAGCAGAGCTGGAAAACATGTCTCAGTAGCAACATCAGCGTATGCATTTCTCCCCCTCCTCACCATTAATGTGCCAGTTCATCCAACTGTGGGAAAAGAGCAATCACTTAAGGTTCAAAACAACTTAGAGTACAGTTTGCTTGGGTGTTTTTTTTGGTTCTTGTTTTGGTTTATTTTTCTTTCATACCTGGATCATTTCTAGTTCAATTCACGATGTGGACCTACGCACAGTTTAAAGAGTGTAATCAAAGGACTGCTTAACCTGGCAATGCCACAAAGAGGAATGCTCAGGCAGCTGTGACCTCAGTTCACCCTACACGGAAAAGGCACTTGATAACTGTACCCAGTGCTTCATCCTCTCCTGGCTCT